TCTGATGGAGCTGTTAGGCTCTAGTCCCCAGCCCTCCCTCAGGAGCCCCCCATACCAAGGAGTCTAGGTCCTCTTTTTCCTGCGGTTCTTCCTGCCTTTCAACTAATTCTTCTCTCCTTTTTTCCTGCACAGGGGCCAAGCTGGGCTGCTGTAGGGCCAAGACCTAGTCCCAGCAGTTAGGTAAGTGAGGGGTGTCAGCTGCCCCAGTCCTGGGGCAGAGCGATGAGCGATGATTCCTGCCAATGGAGGATGTCCAGGCCCTGTGCCCAGCCCTCAAGGCCTGCAGCAGAGGTCACACCAGGGATGGGGGCAAGGTGGAGTGGTGGATAAGAGCAGGACTCAGGGCTCCAGGCAACCAGCTGGGGTCCCAATCCCAGTTAATGGTTCTGTGACCTTGATCAAGCCCCACAGCGTCTCTGAGCCTTGGTTTCCTCATCTGTAAAATGGAGGCTAGAAAAGCCCTCTCTGGCAGTGCTGCTGGGGGCTAAGTAAGCAGATGAGCCTTGAGTGCTCAGAGCAGTGCCTGGTGCACAGAAGGGGCTCACTCGTCCTCTGCTCTCACTATCCATGTTGACCTTAAGGTGCTGAGGAGAAAGTCAGCTTCCTGGCCCTTGTCTAGGACCCAAGGGACTCCTTTATGGCTTGGGGGCCTTGGGGCCCTCTCTACCCAGCACATGGAAAGACTATACTTGGTGACATAATGTTGAGGGGTAGGGAGCAGAGGAAATGCCCACGGCATTGGGACAGGAAGTTCATTCTGCTTCTGCCCAGATCTCAGCCCAGTGTGTCCTTTCCACCAGGAGAGGACTGCACTTGACATCCTAATATTCCTCTGAGGGGAGCCTCACGCTCCTTCCTCTTTGTTGTCCAAATGACCGCCTTCTTTAATCTTGGAAGCTCTATGGCCTCACCTCAGGCAGTTGGAAGCATCTAGGGTGCCAGAATCCTGGGTCACCCATCCTTTGAGAGTTCATAATTCACAAACTTAGTCATGCCTCCAAGGGCCTGACATGCTGGGGGTGGGGTGCAGCACATACCCCACTGCCCCTCCTCCCCCATGCAAGGGATCTTTTCCGGAGTGCTGGAGAACCAGCCATCAGAAAATGGAGGGCCCAAGTATGAAGTGACTCGTAGACCCTGTTAGTGGCTTCATCTACGAATTTACGCTGGAGATGGGGATACGGGTCAGAGAGCTGTCATGAGGTGGGAGGTTAGTGAAAATGAACTCTATCGAGAGTCAGATGCTGTAGAGGAACTGAAATGTCAAAGAGGGAGGAATCACAGGTGTGTGGGGAGGGGAGGTTGGGAGGCAGAGGTGGGGGATGCGGTGGTAGTGGTAATAAGTTAGTTTATTGAGTGTTTACATGTGTCTAGCCCAGTATCTCACAGAGCTGATTTATTTCTTGTGACTTCCTAATGAGACAGCAACTATTACTTCCATTTTCAGATTAAGAAAAGTTTCAGGAGTTTGCCAAAGGTCACAAAAAGACAGGATCTGGATTTGAACTCAGGCCCCTGTGGCCTGAAGGCTTACACTACAGGGTTCACAGAGAATATGGAATATAAACTTGAAGAGTGGGGGTATTCTTCCTGCTGTCGAAGGGCATTCCAAGTCAGGGACCAAGAGCAAAGACATACCTGGATTGCCTGCACTGGTCAGAAACAAGTGGATCAGCCTGAATGAGTGGGGTTTGGGGGAAGGAGGTGGCAGAGACAATGAAGCAGGTTGGGCATAAGCGGGGGATAGTCAGCAGGGAGAGTGAACTGGTTGGAGTGGCAGAGGGGGCAGGAGTCAGAGATGCCAGGAGAGATGACCGTGGGAAGAGGGAGCCAGGCTTGGACCACGAATGAGTTCCCAGGTAAGTTGGTCTGTGGTGGCAGCAGGATGGGAGGGGTACAAGGGATTTGTTGGAGGTCACGGTATTTTATTATTGGAAGGAAAGATCCTTGAAACCATCTCATCCAAGCCCCTCACTTAGATAAGGAAACCAAGACTGAGATAGTAAAGGGACTTGCCCAAAGTCACAATATGAGCTGGGGTAGTGACTAGATCTCCTGTTTCCCACCTCACACAGGGGAAGATTAGAATTCAGAAGGGAGTCAGGGGTGGAGCTACTGATTCAGGTCACAACTGCAAAGTGAAAGAACCGGTGCGCAGAGGTGACCAGGGTCCCAGGCTCTCGTTTCGGGAAGCAGTGAGGACTGGAGGGCTCGTTAAGGCTCTGAGAGTGACTCAGGACTACAGGTCAGGCCTGTGCTGAATGAGTAAAGAGAGGGCAGAGGCTGGGGAGAGAGGGGAACCAGGCTAACCTGGAGTTGCTGGGAGTCGGGGAGCCAGGTTTCAAGAAGGTGGGAAAGGAGGAAAGGACCCCGACTTTGGTAATTAGCAGGTGGTAATCCAGTGACCTTGGGATAGACAATTCCAGCTGAACTCTTCCTTAGTAAAGGTTTGTAACGGGAAGGAGGTACAGACATGGAGGCAGTGGCTATAGACCTTAGGAAGTAGCCAGGGAACAGGAGGAGGGAGTATTCCTCCGGCTGTTGGATCAATGCAAGTGTTTTCCAGGATGGAGTTTTCGGGCAGAGCGAAGAAGTGGCGGATCTGAGAGGAGGAAATTCACAAGGCTGTGTGGGGTGGGCCGGAGAACACAGGGATGGTGTGACTTAGGGAGGGACACTGCTCCCTGAGTGTCCTGCAGAGGAACTGAAAGCAAGGTAAGGCAGTAGCTGCTGAGTCTGAGTTAAGGTCATCTGCTAAGAAGGAGGTTTTAAGTCCCCTTGTCAAGGGGCCCAGTATGTCGAGCAGCACCTACCTGTCCTGGGCCTACTTTAAATTTATATCCTGGAGGCCGGAAAAGACATGACTGTGGTGAAGTATAGCCTTGGGGCTTGACCTGGCTGAGATGTGATACCCAAGGTCGCAATTGTTGAGATGGGGGAAGGCCACACAGTTGGATGCGAAGTCCTGGGCAGATGGTGAGGAGGGTGTCAGAACCTGGTGTGTTGTTCTGAGTGAGAAGCATGTGAGGAGATCAGAGGTCTGAGAAAGGGGTGGGAGGGACTTCTCATCCACACTGGCAGTGTCATGGGAAAGGCACTGGGGGATGAGGCATCCCCATGTGTCACAGCAGGGTCCAGAAGGAAGCCACTGTCTGAGCCCAGGGGAAGGGGAAATGGGACAGGGACCTCAGTGGGGTCCTAGTCAGAGCAGTTTTCTTGGGAGTGGGCGGTGAGCGTGCGCTCTGCAGCAACCAGAGGACAGTAGAGCCTGAGCGACCTGAGCAGACTGGACGCAGCCCCACCTGCTCTTGGCCTTCGGGGGCTAGGCCTCCGGAGGGCGGTGGCACTCACACATGCTTCCCACTTGCAGGAGGCTCTCGTCCTGCTAGCCGGTTGTTCTGTCTACGTCAGCTGGGCCCTCAGTCCTGCCTTGGGTCACTGAGGGGCAGATGAAGGCCCAACGCACCATACTCCAGCCCCATCTCTTTGCTATTAACAAATTTATTTACAGTTCCTGAACCAAGACTGTGAAATTTAACAGGAATGGCATAAAAAGGCCAAACGTGACCTCTGTGAGGGTTGTACACACAGTTGCTCTATTTCCAAACTAACAACTCAGGTCCTCACCCGCAGCTAGGCCTCCCCCTTTCTTCCTCTGAAATGAGACACAGAATAGCACCAGGCTTCTGGTAGCTCCAACATTTAAAGAGATAAACACAGAGGCAGAGAAGGGTGAGAAGAACCACAGTATGAAATGTAATAATAAAAAAAAAAAAAGTGGCTAAAGAATCAATAGCAAATCCATCTCTGTCTCCAGATTAATGGCTTAGCTGAAAGAAATGGGGGGAGGTCCTTGGGGAGGAACAGAAGCCGGTGATGGAGAAGTTGGCAGGTGAGCTACTGACCCTGGGACAGAACCCCAGGTGGGCAGCCAGGACTGAGGCAGGGAAGAGCAGAGGGGTCTGTCCTCAGAGGGGGCCCTGGCCACATCCTGAGCTCAGGGGAAGGTCAGTGCTGGGCCCCCACTAAATGCAGGGAGAGGTAGCTCTATCGATGCTGCAGCCAAGCCCCTCCTCTGCTTCATATGTTCCTGAGGATATGTGTGCACAGCGTGGGGGGCTGGGGGAGGGGACAAACAGGCATTTCGGAAAGCAGGAGCGAGCCACATGCTTGTGGGAAAGGAGGCTGGGGGTGGGGGTGGGGAACACTGACAACTAACCGTGGGCTCTGCAAAGAGGCAAGTGCCTGCAGAGGGACAGGAAGCCAGGCCAGGGCTCCTGCTGCTCCAGCTTCTTTGTGATCCCTCCCTATGCCAACCTTGCCTCTGCCTCCTGGCAAGTGGGCAGCTGGCCATGGCTGGACAAGCCCATCGCAGATCACTGCCTGGTCAGGAACATGGCTGGAGGTAGGCTTAGGAGAGGGAAGCCCCCAAGCCCAGACTCTCTTAGTCCTACCTGAAGACTGGGTGGTGGGAAGGAATGGCTCTGTTGGCCCACAGAGCTTGGCCATGACAACAGCTGCTTATTTGGACTTTGAAGGCCAAGCCCCGGGCTGCTTCTGGCTCCGTTGGGGAGGCACTGCTCCTCTGTGTACCTGCTCTGCCCTGGCTGGTGTGCAGCACTCAGCAGAGGTGTAACTTCTATCTGCGTACCTAGCCCTGGAGTCAGGAGCTCTCTGGCCCCATGAAGAGCTGTATGCTCTGGGGGACTCACAGGAGTAGTTCTCTGCTGGCACTGGGCTGGGGCTGGGAGACAGGGAGGCAGGGGACTGGGAGAGGCTGGGGGCCCCACAACCAACGGGAGCAGCTGGCTCCCCCGCTGGCTGGCAGAGGGTGGGGGAGAGAGGTAGTGTGGCTCCCTGCAGGTCCTCCTGGGGGTTGTGTGCTCACAGCTGAGTGCAGGTGGGCTGACAGCTGGCCTGGAGCTTTGGGACAGCTGGGAAGCTGGTCAACCTGCTGGGAGACAGGGCCAGGGGCTGCACACTCAGAATCCTCAGATCCTGGGGAATATCTTCCCCCAGGCCAGGGAGGCTGTGTGGCCCAGAGCTCTGCTGGCCTGTCTGTGGGCTGCCAAGGGGAGGGGTCTGGAAGGGCGAGGGTGGTCTGTGGGTGGCACGAGGGCAGGAGGGAGGCCAGAGGGCTGGGCTCAGGGCCTGGAAGGGGAAGGGAGAGATGTCTGCCATTGGTTGTCCTGGTGCCACAGGGGTTGGGGAAACTTGAGACAAAGAATGAGGCCTGTGGCCCAGAGACTCCTGGCCGCTTCTCGGCATTGCCACAGGGGGACTGAACCTTCCTCTTGTGGCCAACAAGTGCCAGGTCTGGGCCAGAGGAGAAGTCTGTAAAACCAGAGCTGGTCAGGAGGCACTGGAAATCTGGGTTCCTGGACATCGGTGTCCCTGGGGGGTCCACAATGACACCAACTGACCCTCCCAGCTCTTGGCAGCTTGCTGCTGGTCCGGGTATCTTGTCAGCTCCCACATGTTCAGCTGGTGCCTTCATGCTGCCCGCCATCTCATCCTGTTCTGGGATGTCTGGGGCCTGGCGGTTGTCTTCCTCCCTCATCTTGGGAGATGCTGCCTTGGCATGAGATGGTTGGCCGGGAGGCAGAGTCTTGGGACACAAAGGGTCACAGTCCAAAGCCGGGGAGCCTGGCTGCCTGTGGGAACAGAAATATCTTGTGGGCCACAGGGCACAACTCCAGAGCAGGCGACAAGCTGAGATGCTCCTGGGCCAGGCCAAGGGCAGGGTAGGGGTGGGACATGCATGGTGCTACCCCTCTGGGTTTCGGAGTGCAGAGAGCTGCCTACTCTGGGGCCCCATGAAGGCCCGCTCTTTGGGTTGACCCGGCAGTAGTGGCCAGTCTGTTTGCACCTCTCTTGGCTCTGTGGCCTGTGGTCGGGGCTGGCCAGAGGAACGGGTTAGAGGCTATTCCATTTAATAACTTCAGAGGAGGCCGTGCCCTTTGGCAGCTGAAGGAAGCACGGTGTGTGGCTGCTGAAGCTGAGCTCAGGGAGTGAGGCCTGAGGTAGAGACTTGAGGTGAGACGTAAAGCTACAGATCCTTGGTAGGCAGCAGGGGAAGCTCAGCGAGCCCTGGAATTCCACCGAACCCCCTGAAAACCTTCTCTCTGGGGTAACTTCTAGAGAGGCAGAAAGACTGCTCTTTACCCACCTGAGAAGGACCCAGAATCCACCCCCTCCCACACACACACGTGCTTCTAGAAGGCCAGACAGGCGCATGACCAGGCACATGCCAGGAGTGCATCTGCTGACCTGCTCCCTCAGGCCCCCACCACCATGGCAATGCCCAGGTGATAGGAAGGGTGCCACGCTCTATTCTGGGTCCAGTCCCATTTGGCTAAAGCCACAAATGGAGGTCCTTCCAACCCCCACTCCCTTCTCGAAAACAAACAGAACGGAAGATAGTGGGAAAGAAAGGTGAGGAAAGAGAAGAATGCTACGGCCAGGTCCGATCTGTTGCCAACTTGAGGGTTCCTTCCCGCCCAGAGAGGGCAGCAACAAAAGTGACCATAGCTGTGCTCGCCACCCTTGGCCGGGCTGTGCCATGGCACTCACCTGGGCAGGCTGGCCTGGGAAGGGATGTCTGCAAAGCTGTGGCTGAGCTGGGCAATGATCCGATCAACTGCTGCGTATGGGTGGGCTTCTAGGGCAAAGGCCTGATGCTGGGCACTCTGGAGATGCTGCCCAGGGGTGAGAGGAAGCACAGGGCATTAGACAAGGCTGGGGTAGGATGCCAGCAGACCTCCCAGACACCCTAGGATGGAGAGACTTGGTGGGAAAGGCTCTCTCAGAACCGGCCAGGGAGCAGCTGCTTAGTGGGGCAGGGACTCACCCCATGGAGCTCCTCGTAGGCCTCCTGGCAGCACTCACAGTACCCTTTCTTCCTCCTGGGCACAGTGCGAGCGGCTGATTGTGGGCTTGGCTCTCTGTCCTTGGGTTCTCTGGGAAGGGTACAAGGTGGGGGAAAGTGGTCACTGCTGGGGCCCTCCGAGCAGGAACTGCTGCTCCAGGGCCTGGGGTCCAGGCCAGGGAGGGGATGGACCAAAACAGCCCCAGAGCTGGGCAGGCAAAGGCAGCCCTGCCTGCACTTGGCATCACTCATTCAAGGGTGGCAGGAGAGGCAAGAAGGAAGACGAGACCTCCCCATGGGCACCTGTCCTAGCTCTGTCCTTTCTCCACCCACACATCTCAAACCACAGGTGATGGCGGCGGCAAGGACAATTCCAGCTCTGTGCTCATACCCAAACCCGCATTCATTTGACCTGCAAATGAAGGGGAAAAGGCCTCAATAGCAGTGAAGGGACTGTGCTGCCCTTGACCTCCTCCACAGTTAATGTCCCCTACCTGATTGTTTCCTCCTTCATGCTTACTTGTCCCTCACTGAAGACTTTCATATCTCTTTCTCAAACCTGACTTCTCGTCTCAATTTTAGTCCCATATTCCTAATGACCTATTTGGCTGTCCCAGCAAACCCAACAAATCTAAAATATATCCCTTTCAGGACTTTCTAAGTAAGACACAAAATCCAGAAAACACAGAAAAAAGCTGATAAATTCAACTACATGCAATTAAAAAAAATGTATGCATGGCAGAAAACATAAGCAAAGTTAAAAGACAAACTGCAAACTGGGGAGGAGGTAGAATATTTGTAACTGATAACACAGCAAAGGGCTCATTTCTCTATTACATGAAGGGCACCTTACAAATTCATAAGAAAGTGATCAATAATCAAATAGAGAAACGAGTAAACAGTATGCAGGAAGTGAACACAAATTGAAATTCAAATGATCGAACATATGAAAAATACTTAACCTCATTCATAATGAGAAGATATAGAAATTATAATGACACTGAGATACGGTTTTTAATCCATCAGGTTGGTGGAAGTCAACAAGTCTGACAGCTCGCAGTGCTGGCCAAGGGCGTGGGAAACAGGTTCTCTGCAGTGCAGATCAGACTGTCCACTGGCATCACCGTCGTGAAAAGCAGTTTAGCCACATTTATCAAAATTATAAATGGAGGTACCCTTGACTCAGCATTACCACTTTTAGGAATTTATTCCACAAATATACTTGAACAATCAAATTTTCTCTAAACAAGACTATTCACCACAGCATTGTTTGTAATAGCAAAAAACTGGAAATAATCTAAGCATCCATCAGTAAGAGACTGGTTAAATACAGTAAATCCATGCAATGGAATTCCCTGTTGCCATAAAGGGAATGAGGACGCTTTTTAGGTACTAATAGGAAATTAATCTAAGATACAGTAAATGGGAAAAGCAAGATCCAGCACAATGAATGATACGCTACTCTTTACGTTAAGAAGAGGGGCAAAGGCTGCATGATGTACTTCTGTGCACATTAACTGTCTCTGGAGATAGACCATGATCTGAAGCTCAGAGGATGGGTGAGGGATACGGACTTTTCGCTTTAAACCCTTTGTAACACTTGAATTTTGGACCAAAATAATAATTTAAAAAAATTTAAACATTCTCTTCCAAAGATTTTCCACACACACACACACGCATGCACCCACACCCGCACCCGCACCCGCACGCACCCATGCATGCACGAGGGACCCTGGCCAACTCCCCCTCTATGCTCAAGTGCAGACACCAAAGCTTGATTGGTTCGCCATCTTCCCTTTACAACCTCTCGGCTTTTCTGTGATCCTGAGGCCACCCCAGGCCTAGCACCACCTACCAGCCCCAAGCCCACCACCCCCTGGCTATCTGTCTGGTACCCCCTGTGCCTTCTAGAAAAGGTGTGAAGGGCACCTGGACTTCACCTCAGCTCGTTCTCTTCTTCCTCTCCTCTCCATCTACTGCCACATTCTGTTTTTTCCCTCCCATTTGCACTACTTCCTGAGCCCACCACCTTTGTCTGCTGATGGAAACCACGGGCCCTCCTTGGCCATGGGAACTCTCAGGCTAAGAGTCTGCCCTGTCCTGTTCTCCTGGTCTATGAACCAACCCCGTGGCCCAGAAGTTAGAGAGGGTCTGAGAAGGCATCTCGTCCATCACTTGAGCTGCGTTCCTTCTGCACTTTGGTCACATTCTCACACATCTGCAGAGTATGAATACCAATAAGCCTAGAATCCACTTTGGGCCACACAATGCAGGAGGTCCCCCAGATCCCATCCCTTAGTTATTCCTCACATCTAGCCCAAAGGCCTCACATTTTGATGTGCATCGAAGGACGATGCAACTTTTGGGGCCCCATCATCGGAGATTGTGACTCTGTAGGAGTGAAATGGGGTCCAAGAACCTGCATTTGTAATACCCCAGAGGACCCTGATGAGGGTGCTCTACAGATCTGAGTTTCAGAAACCAGTCTATTGTCCTCTGGACACAAGTCAAATTCTTCAGTAGGGACGGAGAACACCAAATAAAACGGATGAACACTCCTCATGTCTCTCTTCTCTGGGCTAAGTTCCCAGAATAGACTTCGCCTAAGGAGCTAACACATGGCCATTCCCAGATCTGACCAGCAGGCCCCTGAGTGGAAGGACTTTGGCCTATAACCAGCCCTTGTTATTCAGGAACCAGAAAGACCCACCTGGTACAGTGCGAGCGGTCCAGGGTCGTCGGGGCCTCAAAGGGACTTCCATCTTTGGGTCCCAGAAAAGAAATTTCAGGAAAGGATTTAAACTGATGGTGGAAGGGACGAAACTTCCTGAAACACAAAAAACTTCTACTTTGACTATGGTGGAGAAGGGAAAAGATGACGAAGGGGAGCCAGCCCAACTCCCTGGAGATCCAATCCTGATAAAGTGGACCCTCACCTGCGCATCTTTTAACTTCTGAAATCAAACCTCCATCAGCCTTACTGGGTTTAATACTTATACTCTCCCTGTCTTCTCACCTGCGCATCTTTTAACTTCTGAAATCAAACCTCCATCAGCCTTACTGGGTTTAATACTTATACTCTCCCTGTCTGCTCTTCAAGCCTCATCTGAATCCTATAGCTACCCTCTGAGTGGAGTGGAACAAGTGGAAGAAATGAAGCCCAGAATATTCTGGCACTCTCCCAGGGGCTCACGGCTAGTCAGTGGCCAAGACCGGATGGGAAGCCTCATCTCCTGACTCCTGATCTAGATCTTCCCCTTTCCATTTTGTTTCTTGACTCTAAAACAATCTTTGAGGACTCTAGGCTGGCAGAATGTAAATGGAAGGACGTGTACACCAGAGCAGTGATTTTCCTGCTCCAGAGAGAGGAACTTTTTTGCTCCTTTGCACCTTCTAAGTGGTGGTTGTTCTGAATGGAAGACGCACAGTGAAGGTTCTGGATAGTCAGACTGATATTGGGTGGTGCTGGTGGTCTGCCTCAAGTTGCTCACAGTCAAGAGACTTTTGGAGCCAGACTTTTGGTGATGTGTGGACACTCAGCAAACCCTGCCTGACATAACCATGGGTAGCCCTGGTTTGGAGCCATGGCCCGTGCTCCTGGGAGACTGCAGGTCATGCTTCCTGACTGGCACGGAGACAGCCCTGTGGCCTCAGGAGTGAAGTAACAATAAGTCTTCTTAGACCCTTAAAGAAAAGGGGACGCCCTCCACAGCCCCGGTACCCCCCTTTCTTTCTTTTCACTGTTGCTTAGAAGGCTGGGAAGTTGAAGCTGGTTAGGCCATTAGGCTTTGCAGAACACCTGTTCAGAACAGCACAGTGAAAGAATCATGAGACACCTAAGCTCTGCTGGGATCTCCTATTGCCTGTGATGCTAGGGGCACATAAGCACATGTACCCCCCACCTCCAGCAACGGCGACATCACCTGTGCCTGCCATGTGTCATGAGAGATCCTGAGGCATGGGCAGGGCCTCTGAGCTGCTGCATATGAGTCATGACTACTTGTATTTGACTGGCAGTGAAGGGATTGGGATTGATGGACAGGGACTCCCTCTCAACGGAACTAGAGAAGATAGCACCTCATTGTCATTCCTGTGTTCTTTCCCCTCACTTTTGGCCCACCCAAGCCAACCCTGTACTGTGTGCACAGGCCAAGAATGGAACCCAGGCCCATCTGGAGGACAGGTAAGGACACCAGGATCCCAGGGCTGGGGCTTTAGCTGCCCTACGTGTGGCCGAGGGACTCAGAAAACTGGTCCCAGGAATCTCTGCTGGGCACACGCGGGCTTTTTCTCTTTTAAAAAACTTTTTACTTTGAGATAATTATAGAATCACATGGGTTTTTGATCTAGTACTTATTGAAGAGTCATTGATAACCAAGGTGGTTAACAGCTCATCAGACTATCATCAGGATATACCTCCTGCTCTAGGTTAGAAGGGGCCCCAGTGGTGGACAGGGCGGGGTGGAGTGGGCAGAACAGTCAGGACACTGGATTCTAGCCTTAGCTGAGATTCATTAGAAAAGTGGCTGTGTGCAAGTCTCTTAATTTCTCTGACTTCAGTTTCCCCTCTAGGAAGAGGATGGCCTCTCCTCACGCTACTTTCCACCCAGGGCTGTCATGAGATATCACGTGCCAGAGAGGGGTTCTACACAGCAAAACAGAAAGGCTTCCCCAGGGAATCCCAACGCCACCCCAAGCACCCTCACTTCAGCCAAGATGACTGCACTAGCACCGTGTTGGGGCCAGCAATGATTCAATAGTGTTAGTGTATGCCTAGGAGGAAACGCAAAGAAATAATGAGCCTGGATGGGACATCACGAGCTCGGAAAAGCAAAACATTAAAGGAAGTAATTCACACACAGGGTCATTAACCTCTGACTCATGGCCGAGAGGAGTGCCAGTTATGCAATGCCACCCTCAGATGCTTCTCCTGGTCTGTGTGAGACTTCTCCATGACAGGGGGAGAAAGGAGCTTCTTGGAAGACAAAGGTGCAGGGCTGAGTGGCTCCATGACCCCATGGCAGCTTGGGACCTCTCCTCTGTGTGTCCTCGGAGGGGAGAGGGTAGGGGGGAGGCTCCACTCACCGGCTCTCATCTTCTATCTTGAGGAATGGTGCTTTCAATCTGGCCACTAGAAAGGACAAGTGCACACATTAGCACCTGTCTGCTCCAGTGCAGGGCCCGTACTGCACATGCGGGAAATGCTCAGGGAGGCGAGGCCCTGCCAAAGCCTGAGAGTCTCTCAGGGCTGGAACACATGCTGCCCCAAGGTGTGCCTTTCCATTTGGCAGAGGTGAGGCATCCACTCCCATCCCTTCTAGCCTCTACCTGCGAGTTCCACTGTTGCGGGGAGAGGCTGCAGAATGCCTAGGGTATTAGGCATGCCCTCCCTTGGCAGGACAGAGGACCCTCCTGTGTATGGGTTCTGGAGACTGTCAGTTGACCATCAGAGACCAAGCTGGGCGGGAGAAACCCAGTTCCTGATGGTCTCTGCTAAAAGCTTCAGCTCCTTCCCAGACCTTTACTCCTGGGGGGTCTCAGAATCCTGAGGGGCCTGTGATCACTCCCAGGCAGAATTCTCTATGAGGGCTTTTTGGGGGAGAAGGTGCAGAAAAAAGGAGAGCTAAAGAGTGTTTAGAGATCTTAGCAGAAGGACGGTAAAAAAAATATCAAAGGTGAAATCTGGTTCTGGGAAAAAATAGGGCAAAGGGGTTCTGGGAGGACAAATTTGGAGTCAATTAATCAAGAGATTCATCCCCTACTAGCGGGCTATTTGGACAGTGTATAAAATCTCTTAGGCATTAAGAATCATTTCTATTTTCCCATGGTGACAAGAAGTTCTTTAAAGGGGCTAGAAGCCTGGGCAGAACTAACAGCCACCAGCTCTCCACAGAGGCTGGCACCTCACAGCTTCCAGACCTGCTCAAGGTGGCCACCAGCGCCACCTTGTAATTAATGGGAGCCACTGCCTTTCTCCTTGCATAGGCAGTGGCTCCCATTAATTACTTTAGAGGGGGCAATTCCTTGTCTAATTAACTGAGACAGTTATTAAAATCAATTCCCTCACAGATTTCCTTGAATTTTGAACACAAAAGGTGCCAAGTGACTTTTATTAGCTCCTGCTTGTGCACGAATAAATGCCACTTAAAGAGCATCTTTGGGAGAAACTCTCCTGCTGTCCATGAGGAGCCGGGAGCTGGGCCGTCAATCTGCCTGTTTGTCAATTTCAGGGAGTTTGGCATTTCTGAAAGTGGTAGGCAGCTGTCAAACTGCCCACCCCAAACTGCTCCCGAATCAAAAGGAAAATGATGCAGAACTTCAGTCTATGGTCAGGCATAGCCAGAGGATGTAGGAGCCAGAGTGACCGAACGGGGTCTTGCTCTAAGGAGAAGAGCTCTAGACTAGCTTGTGGATGCCCCTCGCCCGCTGCTCACCTCTCTGAAGCCCAGGCCTTGGAAACATGATGGGACAACACAACCTGGACGCGCTTCCTGCCGCAGGAAAGTGAGCAGATGCTGCCACAGAGGGAGTCGCAGGAAAGCGTTTAGGGAGGGAGGGACTGCAATTAAATGAGGAACAGCTACTATACTGACCTTTCCGCGTTCTTGACTCTGCTGGACATGTTCCCTAAATGGAAAGGGAAAATAGGTTAAGGATGTGAGGGAGCCAGGGGGGTCGAGGAACCGGGCTGGTGAGCTGAGTTGCTATGAGTCTGCCCCACTTTGCTTCCTGCTGTTGGTCGGGTCTTGAGCTAGAGCAGACCTGAGCACAGCGGCTTCCTCCGCCTCCCTGGGGACATGATGAGTGGTGAGCACTGTTTGTGAATCTCAAGCTGACTTTGTGGAGAGAATGCAGGTCAGAGCAACAGCAAGAGCTGGGTGGGAATTGAAGCTGCGCCGCCTGTGATGTGAGGAACACTTACCACCTCATCGGATGTGGTGCAAGTGAAATTAAAAGCAGGTAACAGACCTGACACAGAGTAGATGCTCACTAAATGGCAGCTTGTAAATATACAGCCATCCAGGCACTACTTCCATTTCAGGTCGGCTTACAGGACAAGGGTGAAGACAACACCTTCTGCTTTCTTGTGCCCTATCTTGTATCTCCTGACTGTTGGCCCAAACCAACATTTAGGTCAAGGTCGAACAAAGCTAATATTAAAAACTAAGTGGAAAAAAATTAAGAAATCAGTTAGATTTGGGGGGTGGGGGCAGGATGAGAGATCCAGTGACTCCACAACTGCCAGATCCTCCTCCAGGCCACACTTCCAGGGCAAGGACAACCCAAACAAGCCTTCCATATCCCCTTCTATCAGCAGTCTGTACCAAGAACTCACTCCAAAAGACTCCCAAGTATCTACAAAATAGATTAATTATTAAGTGAACAAAGCAAAGTAAATATACTGTGCCTTGGTGTAAAAGGGTAAAACGGGGGTATTTTTGACATATCTGCTTGGAAATGCATGGAGTCTTGGAAGGCTACCTAAGGAACTTTTCACCATTTATCTCAGGGAGGAAACTTGGCAGCTGGGGAACAGAAGTTGGAGGGGAGAAACTTTCACTATATACCTTTCCAATTATGACTATGTAAATCTATTTAGCAGCAGCAGCAAAATCCCAAAGGCCACTCCCGCCCCCAGATCGGGTGTGAACGTGGGTGCCTGCCACTGTGCTCCTGGGAACCTGAAGGGCTTAGTCTTCCCTCAAATTCAGGCCGGGTGAAGGCATTGTGGCTTTAAATTAGCCTGGGCTCTCTTGATGTGGTACACATAGTTCTAACTCTAACAAAAAAAAAAGAAAAATCCAAACTAGAATTTGGAATATGGCAGCTGTTTCAAACCAACCTCCTGAAACACACACACACACACACACACAGACACACACCCCGTGCTGTCTGCAAGCTCATTCCCAGGCCAAGAGCTGTCCCCAGAAAGGCAGCCTGGCCAGCAGGCCATGAGCATTTATGTTTTATCTAGGCCAGGACCACCCACAGGCAGTCTATGGCTCAGGCTGCTATGAATGCCTCCGTGCAGCCCCAAAGATCTGCAGGTAGCACAGGGAGGAGAGGACAGGCCGTGGACGCCAGGGATGAGCTAAGGGACTGCACTCCTCTTACTTTTTCCAGGATGGCCAGGAAGAGACGGCTTGGGGGGTCCCAGATTTACTAAAGGTCACAAACT